GTCATTGGTTAATAGCCCAAGTCCATTGCTAGTTGATATAGTCCAATTTAGACTTTCCCGTTTGGGCTTCCCCTCAAGATTTTCAAAACGCGTCTACTAGGAAAAGGTTTCCACACCCTTATAAAGAATGTTTTGTTTTCCTCTCCAACCGATGTGGGATCTCACAATCCACCTCCTCTTCGGGGCCCAATGTTCAAGAATGTTTTGTTTTCCTCTCCAACCGATGTGGGATCTCACAATCCACCTCCTCTTCGGGGCCCAATGTTCAAGAATGTTTTGTTTTCCTCTCCAACCGATGTGGGATCTCACAATCCACCTCCCCTTCGGAGCCCAATTGGCACTTATTCCTCTCTCCAATCGATGTGGAACCCCCCAATCCATCCCCTTCAAGACCCATCCCCCTTTGGGGCCCAATGTCCTCGTTGGCACTTATTCCTCTCTCCAACCGATGTGGGACCCTCCAATCCACTCCCTTCAAGGCCCAACATCCTTACGGGCACACCGGTTGGTGCCTACCCCCCTTTGGGGTTCACCCTCCTCGCTGGCGCATCGCCCGGTATCTGGCTCTGATACCATTTGTAACAGCTCAAACTCACCACTAGCAGATATCGTCCTCTTTGGGCTTTCATTTTCGGGCTTCCCATCAAGATTTTTAAAACGCGTCTGCTAGGAAAAGGTTTCCACACCCTTATAAAAAATGTTTAGTTCTCCTCCTCAACCGACGTGGGATCTCACATAATAACATTGCTTTCGTGAATAAGTTAAGTTTGGATACTCATCGAATATTCCACCCTTCTCATATGGATGTTCATATTATCCTTGATTGCAAACTTCTTAGCATGAAGCTTCTTTGATTTCCACCAAACTGAATTATGTATATATTTTAAGATGTTCATGTCTTCTCTGACTTTACAATCCCAGTTTCCATACATTTTCCATGTGACTGACCAAATGGAAAGTAGGACAAGAGGCTGATGAACCTTGTTGTTAGTAGGTTGACCAAGACGATAAAGATTGGAATTTGCACAGTGGGAAAAGCTTAGGATGCTCAACATAATCCCTGACAAAGATTTCAAAACTTACACACTCTAGACAGGTAGCTTGACATTAAGCCATGATCCAAACAGGCAGAAGAGGAACAAATAGCTTGCTTGATATTCAGCATAGCCAATGACTAAAGATATCACAGCATGATCTACTCATCACAGGGCTGCTGCTGGTTCTCCTGCTACCCGTTTCTCGCTTGCAGCACGCACCCCCAAATGCCAAAGCAGGCCTTCTCCCGGGGCAAGATGCGAGAGATTCGACTCAACACGGGTCCGCAACAGAGGGCGACCTGTGTTTTGATGCAGATGACCATATGTTTGAAAATAAGAACTTGATAAAAGCTGTAAATTTGTTGCTTTGGAAACTGTGAGAAAGAAGGCGTTGGTTGAATTAGTGTTGAAATTGTAAAGAGTAAAAAAGGGAAGGCGTAGGCCATGTCTTGAGGAGTATGGTGAAGACTCTCCCAAATTCTCCGGGAATTGAAGCCTGAATCTGTAAACCCAGATCCTCTTTCTTCTCAGCAATGCCTCAACATTACATGTGCTCTCTTTTCAATCATCTACTCTTCTAAACTCTGCAACACTCACATGCACATCTATACACTCTCGACCTTATTTTTAGCTATGGATTACCCTATTTAACCCTCTTCTCGGTATCGCTGCGAGCTTACTTTTTCCGGACTATAAGTTTGTTAATCGTAGATTACCATATTGGTACTCGTGAGGACGTTGTGTTTGAGGAAGTTGTGTGTGAGGACTATAAGTTTGTTAATTGTAGATTACCATATTGGTACTCGTGAGGACGTTGTGTTTGAAGAAGTTGTGTGTGAGGACGTTGGGCCTCCAAGAGAAGTTGATTGTGAGATCCCACGTCGGTTGGAGAAAAGGAATGAAACATTATTTATAATGGTAGAAACTTTTCTATAGTACACGCGTTTTAAAACCTAAATGGAAGGCCGCGAGAGAGGACAATATCTCCTCTTTCTATTCATGGATTTTTCAACTATTTAGCCTTTAATGATCTTTGAAACAAAAATGATAGCACCTTAACCCAGGCAAATCACTTGGTTAACCCAGGCAAATCACTTGGTAATAAAAGTGAAATTTATATATTAACTTGAGAGACAAATCATTACAATAAAAATATATATAAATATATATATATAATCAAATAAGGGCTTGTAGTCCCAAAGAAAATTTTAATTAAATAATAAACATTTACATTATTATAATTTGTGGAAGTGAGAGTTTGAGAAGATCATGTGAAATTGAGAAGACCAAGTTATTAATTTATAATATGCATATTTATATATATATATATATATATATATATATTATCCATGTCAGAATATTTTAATTTTTTTAAATTAAAATATATAGTAAATAACTTAACACTTTGCTGCTTTTGTTCCTCATTTAACATCTTAAATTTTAAAATTAAAATATTTAAATGCAAAAATAGACTAAAAATAGTGAATTTATAAAGACTCATGAATAAAAGCAAATTAATAATTTATATTATTAGATAAAATTGAGTAATTTAATAATTTAACCATTGATCAAACCCTTCTTATTTTATAATTGCAAATGCTAAATATTTTATGTCAATTGACAAAAAAAAAATAATAAAAAAAGAGAGAAAAAAGAACTATATATTCACTTTACAAAATATTTTTTTTACCTCTTAAAAAAAATATTGTGTATCAAATTTATGATATTTTAAGGATTATTTTTATTATGATATATTTTTTTAAAATTAAAAAATAATAACAATAATTAACAAAAAAAAAAAAAAGATGAAGAGAAAAAAGAACTATATATTCACTTTACAACAGTAATTTTTTTTTTTTTTTTTTTTTACCTCTTCAAAAGGAATGGAAAAATTCCGAGTTTTTTTTTTTCCTTCTCAAGATTTCACAACTCGGAACAAAAATTGGATGATAAACAGCAAACTTACCCCGGTAAAAAAAAAAAAGAAAGAGAAAAAGAAACCCGAAATTACCGCTCCGATTCGTTTTTAAACTCGGCCAGAAAATCGGATCCCGTCGCCGGCAAAAACAACTTTTACATGTGAAGTATATTATTTTAGTCTTCAGAAATGCTCTCCAAATGGGGCCGCCATACGACCACCCGGGCACCGCGGCGGTCCCGCCGCGATGGTTTCTTGTCGGATACAACATCGGAGAGGTAAGAATCACTGTCTGCGGTGGCGGTACAGTTTTTGGCCTTTGAAGACGGAGTTTTGAGGCTGCTTCCGGCGTTTCTTTTCTTCTCCGGCCGAGAAGTCGCCGGAATCACGAAATAAATAGTGCCCCTTTTGAGCTCAGATTCCGGCGAGAGAATCAGAATCCGACGAACAACCCCTTGTGAAGAAGGCTTAGTAAGAACGTGATTTGGGTTCGCTTTTAGAACCTCGCCGGCGGTGATGGGATGGGCAATTTCTTCTACGTGGCCGTTCAAATGAACGATTCGGATCAAATCAAGAGCTCCACAAGGAAGAACACAAGCCAAACAACACCTTAAACTGTTACCCATTTCAACAAATTACTACAAAAAATTTAAACTCTTAGAATTTTTGTGAATGGGAGAAGAAGAAGAAAGGACAATTAGGTATATATATATATAAAGCCCAAATTTATTTGTACGAACAAAACCAACAAGATGGGATTTTTTTATATTAAATTATATGTGAAATTACCAGTTTACCCCTTGCAGTAAATTCCCATTCCAGTGGTCTGTTTCTTAATTTAAAAAATCATTTCTTCTCGGGGCGTGTTTGGTAACTAGAATAAGCAAGCAGGTTCAAGGGTATTCTCGATACTCCTCAAAAGACATTAGCTAGCGAAAGTCCTCCTTTTCCTATTCACTAAATCCTTTGTAGTTGAGTCCAACCGAGCGGACCTGATGATTCACAAGTGGCATCGTCTTCCTTCATGTCATAGCCTTATCATTATTTATCGAGAGTTGTTATGGTTGAAAAATTTACAAAAAAATTAAATTAAATCTAAAAATGTCTCAATCTGACCCGACCCAACTCGTTAATATTATGGTGTAATTCTTAATTAAAGTCGATTTTGATAAAATTATTATTTTCTAAGTACAAAAGTTTATATATATATATATATATATATATAATTTTAATATTTGTGATTGTCCCACCATTAGGAAACAAGTTAAAGTGGGTCACAATAAGACATTTTATTTTTAGGGTTTGTGGGTTTATTGGGAAACATAGAAGAAATAGGGAAGTGGTTGAAGTTTGCTGCCTTAAATGGCCTCTGCAACGACCAAGAGGTATCTAAGGTAATGATCACGAATATGATATTATCTATTTTGAGCATAAATTCTCATAGTTTTGCTTTGTGCTTCTCTTCGAACAAAACACACTATAGAGCCTCTCCTGAGATTTATGTAGTCCACGAACAGTCTCCCTTAATCGAGACTCGACTCCTTCCTCTAGAGCCCTCGATAGTCACTTCTGACTACACCTTCAAGGCTCACAACTTTTCGATATTTGGAGATTCTATTGACATAGCTAAGTGAAGGCATGACTCTGATACCATGTTAGGAATCACGAACCTCTACAATGGTATGATATTGTCCACTTTGAAAGCATCAAATCATGGTTTTGCTTTGGGCTTACCCAAAAGATCTCGTATGAACAGAGATATATTCTTTACTTATAAACTTATAATCGTTCTCTAAATTATCTAAATTAGCTAACGTAACACTCCCTCCCAACAATTCTCAACGGAATCGACCACAACTTCAACTAAAAATGGAAAATCTTACCTCATAGTAAAATACAATGGATGGAATTAAATTAATTGAGAAAGAAAATCAAACCATAATTGATTCAGGCTGTCGTTGGCTCTAAACCGCTGGCAAAGCCCTCTATAAATTTGTGCTAACATGAATGCCAAAGGACGACAAGAACTTCGAAGCATACGCGCAATGGCACGAGCTAATTACCTCATTTTTGCTCTGTCACTTCACGTAATCTGGCTGTTATTTTTTAGCAAACTATGCAATGCTTCGAACGTTAAGATTTCTCGTTCTTTTCCTGCAATTCTCATATTCGGCGATTCTACTGTAGATACGGGAAATAACAACTTCATTCCCACTGTCTTCAAGGGCAATTACTTTCCATATGGTAAAGATTTCCCGAACCATGTTGCCACGGGAAGGTTTAGTAATGGAAAACTCATACCTGACATGACGGCCTCTAAATTGGGGATAAAGGAGCTTGTTCCTCCGTTCTTAGATCCTAAATTGTCAAATGATGATATCAAAACAGGGGTCAATTTTGCATCTGCCGGCACAGGCTTCGACGATCTAACATCGACTATGAACAAAGTAATTTCGATGACGAAGCAAATTGATCTTTTCAAGAATTATACTCAAAGGTTCGAAGGAATTGTAGGTATGGATGAAAGTAAAAGAATTATTAGCCGTGCTTTGGTGGTCGTTAGTGCAGGAACCAATGACGTACTCTTCAATTTCTACAATGATCCTATCAAAAAGTTGAAATACAATATTAGCGGCTATCACGATTTTCTACAAAGCAAACTACAGAGCGTGGTCGAGGTAAATTTCATACCGTATGCACTCATTAATCCAATCAATATTCGACATAAGGTTAAATCATAAAAAAAAAATATCTTCGACTTTGCTTTTATTTAAAAAAGTGCCGTGAAGTTTAGATCGGTACACCATTTTAGCTACGTCAACATCACATAGTTCGAGGTTTCAATTAATTTTTAGAGTTCTCGAAAATATTCTAATAAACCTATTTTTGTTAATTTTATTTCAGGAAATTTACCATCTTGGATGTTCAAATATTATGGTTGCTGAACTCCCTCCAATGGGGTGTCTTCCCATTCAAGAAACTCTATCATTTAAAGATCTCCCGACTCGAAAATGTGTAGAAGATCAAAATTCAGATTCAGAAGCCTATAATCAAAAGCTACTAAAGTTGTTAAAAAATTTAGAGGCTAAACTCTCGGGAAGCACGGTTTTGTATGTTGACATTTTCACTCCAATCATGGACATGGTCAATAATCCTCATAAATATGGTACGTCGGAAAATATTTTAGAGAAATCAAGTTATGAAAAAAAAATCAATTTAATTAACGTAAATTTTGTTGGGGGATTTTATCGAATAGGTTTCGAGCAGACAAACAAAGGTTGTTGTGGAAATGGATTGGCTGAAGCAGGGCCTCTTTGTAATGCATTAACCCCAACGTGCAAAAATCGATCAAAATTTGTATTTTGGGATAGCTTTCATCCGACTGAAACAGCCTATAACTTTATCACTGAGTCGCTTTTCAATCAAATTTTCGGTCACGTGAATCGAAATTGATAAGTTTCAACCGAGCTCTAGTTTTATGCATTATGAATTTAAAAGTACGTCCTAACTTTAAAAATAAAAGTAAGTTACAATAATAGTTGACAAAAAAAATAATAAATGAAGAGAAAAAAAGAACAATATATTCACTTTACAACAGGTTTTTTTTTTTTACCTTCTAGAAGGATTTCCCAATTCGGAACAAAAATTGGATGGTAAACAACGAAGTTACCACCGGTAAAAAAAAAAGAAAAGAACCCGAAATTACAGCTCCGATTCGTTTTATCATCTCGGCCGAAAAATCGGATCCCGGCGCCGGCAAAAACAAAACTTTTACATGTGAATTATATTATTTTAGTCTTCAGAAATGCTCTCTAAACGGGGCCGCCATACGACCACCCGGCCACCGCGGCGGTCCCACCGCGACGGTTTCTTGTCGGATACAACATCGGAGAGGTAAGAATCACTGTCTCCGGTGGTGGTGCAAGATGGAGTTTTGAGGCTGCTTCCGGCATTTCTTTTCTTCTCCGGTAGAGAAGTCGCCGGAATCAAGAAATAAATAGTGCCCCTTTTGAGCTCAGATTCCGGCGAGAGGATCAGAATCCGACGAACGACCCCTTGTGAAGAAGGCTTACTAAGAACATGATTTGGGTTCGCTTTTAGGACCTCGCCAGCGGTGATGGGATGGGCAAATTCATCGACTCGGCCATTCAAATGAACGATTCGGATCAAATCAAGAGCTCCGCAAGGAAGAACACAAGCCAAACAACACCTTAAACTGTTACCCATTTCAACAAATTACGAAAATTTTCAACTCTCTCTAAAAAGTTTGAATTTTTGTGAACGAGGAAATAAGAATAAAGGACAATGAACTATATACATATATATATATATAACTCCCAAATTTATTCGTACGGACAAAATCAACAATATGGGGATTTTTTTTATTAAATTATATAGTAAATTCCGGCGTGTTTGGTAACTAGAATAACAAGCAAGTTGCAGGACAGTGCCCTTAAATAATTTATATAATAATTATAATATGATTAAATAATTTAAATTCACAGAATGTGACAGTTATTGACGTTGAGTTAGCTTTAATTAAAGGAAAATTAATGTTAATTTTATAAAATATATTTTCTTACCATACAATTATATATATTATTATAATTCTATTTAATTTTATAATTATTTTAATTAGGTTAGGAATCACAAATCTCCACGTATGATATTATCCACTTTGAGCATAAGCTCTCATGGCTTTGCTGGCCTCATATCAATAGAGTTAGTATTCCTCAACAATCCTCCCCTCGAACAAAGTACACTATAAGCCTCAAGGGCCTCCCCTTAATCGAGGCTCGACTCCTTTCTCTGGAACCCTCGAACAAAGTACACCCTTTGTTCAACACTTTAGTCACTTTTGACTACACCTTTGAGGCTCACAATTATTTGTTCGATATTTGAGGATTCTATTGTCGTCATGGCTAAGTTTAGGATGGCTCTGACAATGTTAGGAATTACAAATCTCCACAATGATATGATATTGTCTACTTGGTATGACATTATCCACTTTGAACATAATCTCTCGCTTTGTTTTGGGTTTCCCCAAAAAGCCTCATGCCACCAATAGAGTTAGTATTTCTCGACAAGTTATTCTACATATTAATATTTTATTTTTATTAAAAAAAAATTGAAATAAATGAATAAACAACCCAAATTAACCTAACCTAATATTTTAAAATTGGGTTGAGTTTGATTCATGGTTTATCGAGGGTTGCTATGGTTGAAAAATTTACAAAACAATAAAATTAGGTCTAAAAAACGTCACAATCCGACCCAACCAAACCCATACTCCTAATGTAACCCCTTATGAAAGTCAATTAATCGATGATAAAATTATAATTTTTGGAGCACAAAAGTTTTTTTTTAATAATTTTAATATTTGTGATTGTCCCACCATTACGAAACAAGCTAAAGTGGGTCACAATAAGACATTGTTCAGGCATTTTAGGTGGCAGGTTAAAAAGAACATTGATTTTACCAAATGTTAAAACTTTATTTTTGGGGTTTGTGGGTTTACTGGGAAACATAGAAGGAATGGGGAAGTGGTTGAAGTTTGCTGCCTTCATGGCCTCTGCAAATCCACTTCTTTTCTTCTCTCTGTTTCTTTCTTATGGGTTTTAGGGTTTATATATAAAGATTTTACCTCCACTTGCTCTGTTGGGGGACGCAGCTTCATGGGCCATCCACCAAATTCACCTCATTCTCATTCTACAGCCTCCGACCATGCCCTCACCTGCTCACCTGCAACAGACAGCAAAAATTAAAATACATTAAATTGCACGTTTAGAATCTGAAATCTCACAACTATTTCTATTTGATCCTTAAACGTTAAAATGTGTACAATAGGTCATTACACTTTCGTGTTGTATGACATCCGTCTGTTTAAATTCTGATTGATAAGAATTCAGTTCAACGTACGAGGATTCAAGAAATAATGATCTTTCGAAGTATTTAAAAGATATACTCTTAATATATGTATCTGTAAACGGTAAGGTTTGTGTCTATCTAGTCTAATTAGTCATCCCGAACATTGTCTAAAAAACAGCATATATTTAATAACTAACATGTATCTAAAATTCTAATCATGAATTCCATGTGTCGTTAAACGACTGTTCATTAGCATATTATCGATATTTTAAATATAACACAATCGATTAAGATTATCTCGAGGATATATAATAAAATGGAATTAAATTAATTGCCAAACAAAATGTACAAAACCAAATCAAACCATAATTGCTTCAGCCAATAGCTTACCAAACATATGGCTGTCATTGGCTCTAAATTGCTGAGGTCTTTTAAGAGGACAAAGCCATAGATGGTAGGCCGCAACACATTCTGGAACTCAGCTTTTTACTAAAAAGAACACTTGTAACATTCATAAGCCCTATATAAATTTGGCAAAGATGGATGTTAAAAGGACGATAAGAACTTTGAAGCATACATGCAATGAAACGAGTTAATTACCTCATCGTTGCTCTATCACTCTACGTAATTTTGCTGTTGTTTCTTAGCAAACCATGCATTGCTTTGGAGGTTAAGATTCCTAATTCTTTTCCTGCAATTCTCATTTTCGGTGATTCTACTGTAGATACGGGGAATAACAACTTCATTCCCACCGTTTCCAAAGGCAATTACTTTCCATATGGTAAAGATTTTCCTGGCCATGTTGCTACGGGAAGGTTTAGTAATGGAAAACTCATGCCTGACATGATTGCCTCTAAATTGGAAATAAAGGAGCTTGTTCCTCCATTTTTAGATCCTAAATTATCCAACGATGATATCAAAACAGGAGTCAGTTTTGCATCTGCTGGCACAGGCTTCGACAATCTAACAACCGCTATTTCTAAAGTAATTCCAATGAAGAAGCAAATTGATTTTTTCAAGAATTATACTCAAAGGCTTGAAGGGATAGTAGGCATGGATGAAAGTAAAAGAATTGTTGGCAATGCTTTGGTGGTCATTAGTGCAGGAACCAATGACCTAACCTTCAACTTCTACGACATTCCCATCAGACGGCTGCAGTACAATATTAGTGGTTATCAAGATTTTATACAAAGCAAACTACAAAACTTGATCGAGGTAAATTTTATACAATATGCACCTCATTAATCTTAATCAATGTTTGAATATAAGGTTAAATTATTTTTTTAAAAAAAATATTGAACTTAAAAAATACATCTACTCTTTTAAAAAGTACCCTAAAAAGTTAGATCACACTTCTAATTAACTTTGTTTTAGGAAATTTACCATCTTGGATGTCGTAATATTGTGGTCGCTGGACTCCCTCCAATTGGTTGTCTTCCCATTCAACAGACCCTATCATTTAAAGATCCTCAAAATCGAAAATGTGTAGAAGATCAAAATTCAGATTCAGAAGCCTATAATCAAAAGCTTTCGGAATTGTTGAAAAATTTAGAGGCTCAACTCCCCGAAAGCACAATTTTGCATGTTGACATTTACACCCCACTCATGGACATGATCAATAATCCTGACAAATATGGTAAACCTGTAAATATTTAGGAGAAATCAAGTTATAAAAAATCAATTTAATTAACCTGAAATTTGTTTGGGCATTTTATCGAACAGGTTTTGAGCAGACAAACAAAGGTTGTTGTGGAACTGGATTGGCTGAAGCAGGGCCTCTATGTAATGCATTAACCCCAACGTGCGAAAACCGATCAAAATTTATGTTTTGGGATAGCTTTCATCCGACTGAAACAACCTATAACTTTATTACTGAGTCACTTTTCAAGCAATTTTTCGATCATTTGAATTGAAATTGATGGGTATTCAACCGAGTTCTAGTTCTGTGATCCTTTCCATAATATTTCTTTTAAGTTGTTCACAGACCGAGAGAATAATTGAATGATTGATAAATCATTTGGAAGTTAGAAGACTATTTTAGAAACTTATGAGAATTTATCTTCCAATAATATTTCTTTTAAGTTGTTCGGAAAGAGAATAACGGAATAATTGATAAACCATTTTAGAATAACTGAATGATTGATGAATCATTTGGAAGTTAAAAGAGTTACTTAAAAAATTTAATAGACTTGCCTAAAAATATTTAATGAAACTTTTGAAAGTAAATTTAAAAATAAAACTAAGTTTTAAAATAAAATTGTTGAGGTTTTTCAAGACACGAAACCATAACTGGTCAGCAGTTATATATTTAGTGTACGATATGTATTGATCCAAATCCACCGTTAGCAGATATTGTCTTCTTTGGGTTTTTCCTTTCATACTTTTCTTTAAGGTTTTTAAAACGCATGAGATTTCCACACTCTTATAAAAAATGTTTCATTCTCCTCTCTAATTTATTAGAGAGAGAATTCTTCTTACACTTGAACAATTCCTCAATTCCTCCTTGCATGAAAAAATGATAATGAGATTTGTGTAACATTCATCTATCTCCCTATAAATTCATGCACCAACTTGGCAAAGATGAATATCGAAGGACGATAAGAACTTTGAAGAGTACCTGTAACAGCACGAGCTAATTACTTCATTGTTGCTCTATCGGACTGTTATTTCTTAGAAAATCCAGCAGTTCTTTGGAGGTTAACACTTTTCATTCTTTTTCTGCGATTCTCATTTGGTATGAATCTACAATAGTTACCAAGAATAATTACCTTCCATACTGCAAAGATTTCCTTGGCCATAAGGCCGTTTGGAAGGTTCAGTAGTAGAAAAGTACTTCAATCTAAAAAAATTGTTGAACTTTCAAAATTGAATCAAATATTCTAATAAATCATCTACTCATAATTTTAAATAAACACTTCTTATTTATTAACTCTATATTAAAATGGATAGAAAATTTACCAACTTGGATGTCAATATTGTGGTGGTTGGCCTTTCTCCAGTTGGTTGTCTTCCCATTTAAGAATCCTCTAAATTGAAAAGGTATAGAAGACTATATCAATATTATAATTTAATCAATGTAGATGAAATAAAAATAAATAGAAAAACAACAACTTTGAATAACTAAATTAAACATTTATAAAAAAAAAAAAACAGATGCTAAATTTAAAATTTATTGAGATACAGCCAACTAAATTTGAACCATTAAAAATGTGATGGATTAAAATAATAAGGAAACCAAAGTATATGAATGTAAAAATGATATTTTAGCCGAAATTGTTTTAGGTGGTGGGGTTGGGGCACGTGGGCTTGTGAGGTTTTGGTTTTCAGAGCCCTCGAATTGATGGGATGGTTGGTAAGATCACAGACCGCTGATATGGACCTTCTGATCCAAACGTACCATATGTCCCATTCTCGCTTCACTGACACCCCCACTTCACGAACCGTGTGGTGTTTATTACAGTTTCAACACTCTGACACATCCCAAATTATGTATAAAAAAAATCTTTGTTAGAAAAGAAAGAAAAAGAACGTACTAATTCATTTAGATACGTCCATTTTTTTCGCCCCAAATAAACCAGAGACAAACTCTGTTGATAGCAAGCCATAACAGCTTGTTTGCACCATGAAAGGGTGTCCCACCAAGACAGAAGCCAGGAAATCAAACATGTTGTCAGGCAAGGTCAAGGACAAAGAAAAAGCATCCACAACAGTTTCCCAATATCTAGCAACAAATAGACAGTGAGCAAAAAGGTGTCTAAGGAGTCTCTAAGATTGCAGCACACGAATTGCACTAGGAAGAAGATAGGTTGAGATATGGCATTCTCCTTTGTAAACGGTCAGTCGTGTTTATAGCTCCAAAAGAAAGATTGTAATCTTCTTTAGATAGGAATCATTCCAAAGTACCAAGTAAATGTTGTTTTGGCGCCTACGATTACCTTGTTAAGAGATTTAATACTAAAGACATTGGAAGAATCAAGAGGCCAAGACCATAATAGTCATTTAAATTCCTAAATTAGATGGGAAAAAAAAAGGAGAGATGAGATAAACTGGTCGACTTAGTTATTTCCAAATCATTAAGATTCCGACTAAGGTTCAAATCCCATGCAGCAGTAGATGGAATCTAAACGTCTGCTACTGTACTATTAGACAGAAGAAAGGCAAAAAAAGACGAGGAAATACCGTATCAATGTCTCCACAACTAAGCCAAGAATCATGCCAAAAAATAAATACACCGACCATTACCAGACAGCGGTGAGCACAAGAGGCAACCAAAATCCAAAGTAGCGCATATTATACGCCAGGGAGATGTGTTAGAACCCCTCTGAATGAAGCGGGGCCATACACAAGCTCTCTCAGTATCATAATATTTTGCATTAATAAGTTCACGTCACATAGCATTTCCTTCATTTAAAAATATCCAATTCCATTTTTCCAAAAGAGCCAAATGCCAGTGACGAAAGTTTCCGATGCCGATATAAAGTAATGAATGATTACTGTCAATATATCGCACACAAATAATTAAACTTCACTCATGTACATTATTATCTCTAAAGATGGTCATTCCAAGTCTAACTATAAACCTTCTCATCAGCCTAAGACTTTTTGAACCCACATATCAAATAATGTCTGATGGCAACAAATGATTCTCAAACCATACTCCGTTGGTCAAGAAAAGTAGACCTTTTTGTCTTTAAGTAATCTTCCAAATACAGTGGAATGTGCAAAATGGGCAGTACACTAGAATAAAGTTTTGTCCATTATCTGATGTAAAGCTTTCTTCTAAACAATGCATACGGCAAAAAAATATGCACGAAATCTTTTCTGAACCATTAAAGCAGCAAAATCTTTCAGTAGGTAAGCGATGAGATATTATGTTGACCCTTAACAATGAATGGTATTTGCAGATCAACCTACCATGTCTTTGTAACCACCCTCTGTTATGGACTATGTTATTTTAGAAGTGTAAACAGACTATATTATTTTAGAAGTGTACTTCGTGTTTAAGGACACCAAGTTATTGGGGATAAGCATCAAAGGTGAGTTAGCTAGATTAAATGCTTCACAATGATGTTCTATCTCTAAATTGTTTGTATATTTCTCTCTTCAGGATATCTGTTTAAACTGTGATGCCTTCACAATTCCAATGTTTCTATGCTTTTCTTTGATCTCTCCCTATTGAAGCTTGTGTCATTGAACTTCCTCTGCAGGTCAGAAATCATCTTTAAAGCGATAGCCCACATTGCAGGCCGAGCTCAAGTCTTCTTCCTTACGGCTCTTGGGCCTTGAGCACAAGTTTGGATTTAAGCCTACGGTAGAAACATCTAACACAGTTTATTTGATCATTCTTGCATGTGAGGAAAACTTGGGATATTTGGGAAAGGGTGAGTCGTGAGAGCTGGCTGAGGGTTTTGGTTGAGAGAAAGTAGAGGAGGATAAATGGTTTCTAAGGAAGTGAGGTTTTTATTGGCAATGTACATGTATTGTAGTCTGATGTTTTGCTAATTATAGTTTTCATTGCTATAGCAGAATCTACGGGCAACCAAGATGAATCCTAATTAATTTATTTTCTTTTGTACTTCTTTTTTCTCAAAATGGTTAAATTACAAGTTTAGTTACTCAACTTTTAGAATTATGTTTATTTAGTCCATTACTTTCAAATTTTCTAATAGATCCCTAAACTTTCATTTTTATGTCTAATAGGCTCCCGACAAACTCAACATTTTAGAAAGTTAATTGATCAACTAAACATAAATTTGAATTTTATGTCTAATGAAATCCAAAACTTTCGATATTCAATTATAATGGAACATCATTGACATCTTAATTTTAGACAACTATATAGTGCCTCTGGCATTCGAGTAATATGGGCAAGGCCCTAAATTTCCTTTTGGACCGGCTAGAAGGCCCATTTCATTAACTTCCCACAATTATGACCCCCTATGGACACTAATTCCCAATTAGCCTCATTTACCCGTTGCTGTTCCTGTCGTGGTTGTTGTCGTCATAATTGTCGTACATCTGTAACACCAGAAAATCCTCACCTGCATTAATTAAAGGAAGAAATTCTAGCATAGCTACCTGCTGCCTCAACCGTCTAGATGTTCAAATATTGCAACTTCCTAACGTAAGACTTAAATTGTTGTTTTGTTTGTGTCATATTTACTTTGTAATCATATCAAAACTAAAAGTTACAACTCCATGCAACCGATGATCATCTTATAGTACTTGTTTTTGCTTCATCAAACTTCCATGATCACCCAAATTAGAAACACTAATGCTTTAACGTTACAGTCGAGATTACCTCTAGTAGATATTGTCCGCTTTGACCCATTACGTATCGTCATTAGCCTCACGGTTTTAAAACGTGTCTGCTAGGGAGAGGTTTTCACACCTTTCTAAGAAATGTTTTGTTTTCCTCTCCAACCGATGTGGGATCTCACAATCCACCTCCCTAGGGGCCTAGCGTCCTTGCTGGCACACCGCCCGGTGTCTGGCTCTGATACCATTTGTAATAACCTAAGCCCACCGTTAGCAGATATTGTCCTCTTTGGGTTTTCCCTTTTGGGCTTCCCCTCAAGGTTTTTAAAGCGCGTATGCCAGAGAGAGGTTTCCACACCCTTATAAGAAATGTTTCGTTCTCCTCTCTAACCGATGTGAGGTCTCACATTTAATCTCTAGATTTTATTTTCTATAAATAAATTAAAAAGAATAATTTATAAGTGACATTCACTTAGCAACTGATATAAATGCATAAACTTTGACAAAAAGAGTTTAAAGAAAACCTGGCTATGGCACCGGCTAACTTCAATGCTCTTGCAGTGCACATGATTTGGTTGCTTCTTAGCAGAGCATGCAATGCTGTAGAGCCTAAAACTTCTCGAGTTTTTCCTGCCATTCTTATTTGGTGATTCTACAGTTGATCCCGGTAATAACAACTACATTCCCACCCTGTTCAAAGCTAATTACAATCCATATGGCAGAGATTTCCCCGGCCATATAGCCACAGGAAGGTTCTCCAATGGGAAACTCATTCCTGACATTCTGGCATCAATATTTGGGATAAAGGAACTTGTTCCTGGATTTCTGGACCCCATGCTATCTGATGGTGACCTGAGAACCGGAGTCAGTTTTGGGTCAGCAGGGTCAGGTTATGATGATCTTACAGCTAGTAGATCAAGAGTCATTCCAATGCTAAAGCAGATCGATCTTTTCAAGAATTACATTCAAAGACTTGAAAGAATTGTGGGAGAAGAGAAGGCTAAAAGGATTCTCAATGGTGCTTTGGTTATTGTAAGAGCAGGATCTAATGACTTCATTCTTAATTTCTATGACATTCCCAGCAGGTCATTGGAGTTCAATATCAGTGGTTACCAAGCCTTTGTGCAGAACAGACTACAAAGTCTTATCAAGGTAATATAACTGAGGCAAGTTTTAAGGGTAACTATGTATGTGATTGCACAAAATTTTGTTAGTTTATAATCTCTAACAAAATTCAATTGCAAACCATACATTGCATTACCAGGGCAAACCTAAAGCTAACATTTCAATTTAAGCACTTATCATGCCCATTTGTTATTCATCATTTCTTCATCTTTCTAAATTCTTCTTGGAGAAAATGTGACTTCACACCAATAAATTTTAGTTTCTACTGATTTTTTAAGGTAGACCTATAATCAGTAGACTTCACATCTTTCTTCACTGTTATAATTAGAACAAACAACCAATATAAACAATGAAAAATCACACTTAAGGGTTAAAAAGTGCAGTGAGCTTATGGGTTAAAAATCACACTTAAGTTTGAAAACACAGAGACTAAATGGCTATCGGATCCAAACTTAAGGGTTAAAAAGTGCAGTGAACTTTTGTTCCATTTTACCCATGTAAAAGGAACAAAACAGGAAGTAGACTTCAAATATTAGACTAAGCCAAAAAGTACATAGGAGTTTCCAGTGGTTGTGTAGCTAAGCAGCTAAGAATTTTATTGTGAAAATGGATAGGGATTATATCAGCTTGGATGTCGCACCATCTTTGTAGTAGGGCTTCCTCCAATTGGTTGCCTACCTATTCAAGAAACTGTAGCATTCCAGGATCCTAAAAATCGAAAATGCCTGGAAAATCAAAACTCAGATTCCCAAATTTACAATCACAAGCTCACTACGTTACTGCACGGTTTACAATCACTACTGCCTGGAAGCAAAATCCACCACGTTGACATTTACAATCCACTAATCGACATGATCAATCATCCAAAAAGATATGGTAAGCCATGGAATTAGGTTATCTGTCCTAAAATTTCGGTTAATCATTATTATTGGTAAGCTTCATCTGGTTTTGTTTGACGCAATTCATCAAACAGGTTTCGTCCAAACGACAAAAGGGTGCTGGGGGACCGGTTTGGCGGAAACAGGACTCCTGTGTAATCCAGAGACAACAACGTGCGAGGATCCTAAGAAATACTTGTTTTGGGATAGTGTTCATCCTACAGAATCAGCCTACTATCTCATTGCCGACTCCATTCTCAAGCAACTCGGCTTGAATCGGATTCGGAATTGATCTTCATCCTAAGCCGTTTATGTAACATTGAAATCGAAACATGTTGTTTGATATTTGCTATGCCTTATGGAAATAATATTGTTCCGATTCATAAGCAGTACCAAATACAATGAATATTTGTAAAAAGAACAGTTCGAGATTACTTATCGTGAAGTAAATGGAGAATTCTTCGACAGAACGAGTAGCTCGTTTGCTTGATCGCAAATATCCATCCGCTCCATCACCCTCCAATTTCGGCGAAAAGAGTTCTTCCCCACTCCATTTCTCTGCTATCGATCTGCAGTTCAGGTGAAACCGAAATGCGCGGGAGATGCCGTAACCTTTCTGCTATATATATATATATAATTAATTTTTTAGTTTAAATCCCATTTAATCACGTGTGAATTTTTTGGTAAAAAAGAAAAATAAATTATTTTTCTACATTAGCGTGTAATTTAGAAATAACACTAGTAAAATAATAATTTTTTTATTTAAAAAAATAATTAAATTGGCTTCAGCTAATCACAACGTTGTTGGCTGCTAGTAAAAATAACACTAGTAACCCAGTAAAAAATAAAATTTTATTCGGTCGGTCCATCTCATTCCACATTGAAATATTCGAACTCGTTTTCGAAGTCCAACCGCACTCGAGTATTTATAGACACCACCATAAGCTGCTAGATTGCCCTAATAATATTAAACTCGGACCCATAACATGATTTTGCTGAGAGCATGAATAGTGCATGCATCATCTTTGGTTAGACATGGAGGATGCACATAACGTGGAATACATCTAAAAACATTGTTTCAATAACTTCGGTATTTATTTTGCAATCCATTTTAGTGGTTATTTATATATGATTGTGTAAAAATACAATCGGTGAATAAGGGCAAAAGGGTACAATGTGAGATTTCACATCAGTTAGAGAGGGGAATAAAACATTCCTTATAACGGTGTGAAAACCTCTTCCTAGTAGACGCGTTTTAAAACCATGAAGTTAACAGTGGGCTTGAACTGTTACAAATAATATTATAGTCAGACACTGAACCACGTGTCATGAGGACTCTGAGCAATTGGGGGCGGACTGTGATCACATGTTAGTTAGAGAGGGAAAATAAAGTATTTCTAGACAGTATGCTAGCGAGAATGCTAGCCCACGACGGGTAGATGTGAGGTTCGAGGGAAAACATTCCTGAGTAGTGTGCAAGTGAGGCCTCCAAAAAGGTGGATTGAGATCTCACCTTGGTTGGAGAGTTGAAAACTGTATTAATTCAAAAAAAAAATAAAAAAATAAATAAATAAGGGGCTGAGTTGGCGGGTCGGGCACGGGTCAGAGGACCCAAAACCAAGTTCGAGCGGGATTGGAACTGAATTGCGATGTATATTGTCGGAATTTCTTCGATCGGCGCCACTGTTACTCTACTTCCAAACGCTTAAATAGGTTTACCACTAGCCACACCAACTCGATTCTCCTCCAACTTCCAACTTAATTCAGGAAAACGATTGCTGATTGACTCAATTTGTGTAGCGGATCATTGCATTCGCGTCTCGTCAACTTCGTTCGAGGAGTTTCAATGGCGTCCAAGTTCGGTCTGGCCGGGGGGTTGCCGGAGCGGCGAGTTCGACCGATATGGGACGCCATAGATTCGAGGCAGTACAAGAACGCTCTCAAAGCTATAACAACGTTGCTTGCCAAATATCCGAATGCGCCTTACGTCCTGGTAACGAAATACAACCCTTCTCTTTCTGCTGCCGATTAGGATTCTGTGTGATTTTGGCTTCTTTGTACCTTATCGATGATTCTTGCTTTGGTGTTTGGCATTTCTTGATAGTGATTAGCGTATTCATCGCAATTTGCATGCGGTTTTCTCCTTTTGCCTCCATTTCTGTCTGTTACTAGCATTGTGGAGAATACGTTAGTTGGATATAGGAAGCTCCTTATTTCTACAGTCTCCACTTCCACAATACGATAAATGAAAAGGAAAGCACTCTGATAACATTTTAGGTTGCTTAGATGTTCATTATTTTGTTAATTGTGCTTTTCTTGATGAGGTTCTTTAAGCATGCAGGCTACCTTGATATTACTTTTTATAAGTTATTCTAAATCGGTCGGTGCATTAACAATTCAGAATGCGTGGATGAATGTATGATTATCGAGTAGGTTTGAAGGTAATGAATCAACTTAAATTTTTTTCAGGCACTTAAAGCGTTGGTTTTGGAAAGAATGGGGAAGCCTGAGGAAGCCTTATCTGTCTGTTTAAGTGCCAAAGAGCTACTGTTTTTGAATGATTCTTTCTTGACGGACGATCTTACTCTAAGCACGTTACAAAGTGTTTTCCAGCGACTTGACCACAGTTAGTAGAATTCACCTAATTCAGTTGATGTATATCCATGTTCATGTTCTTCGTTGTGAGTTATCTTATTGTTCTACGTGCAATCAGTGGACTTTGCAACTAGCTGTTATGAATATGCGTGTGGAAAATTTCCAAACCACCTTGATCTGATGATGGGGCTTTTCAACTGCTATGTCCGCGAGAATTTGTTTGTTAAACAGCAGCAGGTTTTTGTCCCACACTTGCCACTTTTCCCGAACCCCCCAAAATTTATTTGTACGTTGGTTTCTGTCGATATCATTTTTACTGATGCTCTTTGAATGACTAGAATGCACCTTTTTCATTTTATTAATTTTATTATATTTTTAAAGTCCTTATTCCTTTTCCTTCTCTTCCTCACAGACAGCCATCAAGATGTATAAACTTGCAGGTGAAGAAAGATTTTTGCTCTGGGCGGTTTGTAGCATCCAATTGCAGGTTCGAATGGCTGAACGGTACTTCTAGCATTTACTTTCATTATTAAGAGAATAGTAAATGCATTTAAAAAAGAAGAAAAGAAAAAGAAAAAGAAAATAGAGTGCAGAAAAGCAGAGAGCACAAATGGATGATGGACAAATTTACGAACAGATTGTGGAGATTTGTTGTAGGGCTGAATATGAAAGATTTTGAATTTTTCTACAATTATGTAGCTGTTGGATGTTATTCCTACAGAGGGAAAAAACGAACTTCATATTAAGTGGGGTCGTAGACTTGAACCCACAATCCACATGCTTTACATGGAACATTTTCCTGGGAAATTGATTAAAACTTTAGTTTCTTGGACGCTGGAACTCCCAGGTTAATTCACATATTAGTATTCTACTGATTCCTTCGTTAAAGGCCTAATGAATGTCGAGTGTGCAGACTCTTGAAACATTGGTACTCTGTTACATTCAAATCTTGTCATAGTTCAAACATATGAGGTATTAACTGCAGTATCGAAGTGTTCATTCCTTGTTTCAGACTATATAATCTTCTATGGAACTAAGAGAGAATGGGCTTCTTTTCTAGTTTGAGTTTACTAGATCGTTCAACAGTTACTATAATATTGTGATTAAAGATGATTGTTCGCTTGAGTATTTGAAGTTGAATCTTAAATCTTGATTAAGGCATTCATAAACAAGTTGCTTATGCTGCAGTTACTGAAATTCTTACAGGTGCATTACAGTGATGGTGGGGAAAAGCTGTTGTTATTAGCTGAGGGTTTACTCAAAAAGCATATTGTCTCCCATAGCTTACATGAACCTGAAGGTGCAATCTTTCTTCTTCTTCTTCCAATTTTTCCCCATTGTTGTTGTTGTAATGCTTATAACCAGTACGGAAGGTTCTTCTTTACAATCAAAGGTAATTAACGTCGATATTAATGCTCATCTATCCATTTAGCTATTATGGTCTACATTTCAATATTGGAACAACAAGCCAAGTATAGAGATGCTTTGGAAGTTCTTACTGGGAAACTGGGATCATTATTAACAGTTGAAGTTGATAGACTTCGCATACAGGTATTTTCTAAACCTTTTTTCAACAACATTAAACAGCAAGATTATATGATAACAACATAATGCAATGAAAAAAAAAAAAATAGTGGACTTTCTCCATCCCACTTATTCAATTCAAAGATTTCCTATTTTCATGATTTCAGAAGTTTGTAACAGTTAACTGAATCAGTTATAGTATGGTGGACTGTCGCAGACAAGGGTCTTAACTGGTTGTTTTCACTTCCAAAGAAAGTGTTTTACTTGATTATAAGTTCTATTCAGTTTAGTTAGCAATACAACTTTTTGTTTGACGTGATAACTCACTTCAAAGAAACTGACTATGGATGATTTTTCTTAGTCTAGGAATATTCACTACAATAGTCGGAGTTTGGTTTTTTGTAGTCCATCCCTTATATTCAGTTCTAGAAGATGGTGATGAAGAAACATGTGGAACAAATTTTGATTTGTTTTCCCTTCCCTTTTGTGTGTGCGTGTGTGTATGTGTACGTATCGATCTTGGTTTTGAATGCAGAGTAATGTATGTGAAGTGAATGCAGCTCACCCACCACCACATTGTCATTTTCCCGTTATTCATTCAAGAAAAAGGGCATGTAGTTTTTTGTTTTATCAATTTCAAGCCCATTATTATCTTAAGATTATCAATCTATATTAGCAGGAATTCATTAAGTAATGAGCTCATTTGTATTAGTGCACTCTTTGGCTTCAAGTTGACAGGGGAGGCTTCTTGCTCGGGCAGGTGATTTTGCTGACGCTGCCAATATATTCCAGAAAATTTTGGAGTTACGGTATGCTTCCAAATCAATGACATATCTTGATCAAACCAAATAATGGAAATACATGGTGATGTTCATAGATCCCAAAAATGGAGTATTTTTGTGTTTTCGCCCTTTGTTATTGTCTGAACTTAAAATATTGCTCGTTTTAGTCTGATCTAATATGATAATCTAAATATTTGATGATGATAGTTTGTACATACCAAAAGTGGGTTCTTCACGTGTTTCTCCCCTTTTATTTTTGTCTTGATTATTGCATGTTTAGTTTTTACATGTCCCAACTGTAGAGCGGTGATGTTATCTCGTCTTGTTAATGATCTGATCTTAATATACTACTGAATTTTATCCAAGTACAAACGATTATTTTGTGTATCATTTGTTATTCAATTACTTATCAGAACCATTTTTGCATTTGCTTGTCCCTTAATATTATTCCTTTCCCTCTGCATTTGCTTTTTGCTTCATGCCTACTT